GCCAATAAACTAGACAGTTTCTAGGTGGTTTTTAGACAGTTAACACGTTGTCAACTGGCAGTTTTTAGGCAGACTGTAAACTGGCAGTTAATGAGCAGTTTATTGCCCGTCTTTTTTCTCCTGGGAAGGTACGTTTACCTAGATTCATCAAGTGAATAACCGCGTGGTTATGTAGTCAATGGAGCTAGATTCTCTCTGTTGAGCATTTTTGCTTGGGGAGTTTCAGCGCGCTTAGTCTCGAATCTTAGACTGCTCTCGTTGAATCTGAGATTGGACGATATCCTAGTTCGGACGCTGACAAATAGATATATGGTTTTCAAGCTTTTGTGTTTAACTGTAAGAATGTGTTTAAAGCGAAAACTATCGAAGGTAGTTAGATAATCAACTTCGATACTCTTCTGTTATTTTAATAATAATCTTTTATTTTTTCGAACAATTAGTTCCGCTCGTTCATCCTCTACTGCAGCATTTACTGAAAATGATTCATCCTTTGTTTCAACTTCAAATATTCTCAATATTGACGCGGAAGCCTCCTGTACACTAAATTATGTGATTGACTCAGCAAGCATTAATGTGAAATTTTTTCAAAATCAATTATTTTGTTCAAGTTTAAAAAGATATTTATCAAAAACATGTAATGTAGGAAGTGAGATACAACAACAAATAGTTGAAGAAGAAGTTGGAATTCATATACAATTAAAAGGTGTGAAACAATATATAAAAACTGCTCGTGATGTTCTAGAACGCTTATTCGAAGCCGTACAAACAAAAGTCTACAATGCAGAAAATACGGATGCTAAAGGTAACTATACAGTCTCGTCATTTTAAATTATAAAGTTGAATCCACATTAGTTCGGATATATTGTCCGTTCAAAAAGTCCGTGGGTGTGGTATCATTCAAAGAACTCGAGAACAAAAAGAGACAGAGACCTGCGGTTTTCAGCAATCGAAAGAGAACAGCTTAGCCTATATTTTCGCAAAAATATTTTTTGAGAAAATTTCTAAAGTCAGTTCTTCAGAGCATCTCTGGAAAAACAGTTTCTAAGTCAAAAGTTTTACGGTGCAATCTTTCCAGTTTGCTTCGTAGATAGATAGGATAGTCCAAAGTGTCTTGTACAAACTAAGATCTAACTAAAGGTCTCATTTTTCTTGGTTCAGGAGCTTCGGACGTTTTTCTCGGAGCACTGAAACTTCATTATTCTTCGGCCAGAGACTTTATAAAATGCATGAAAACATACGGTGTCGGCCATGCTGAATCTCATGGCAATGTTGGTTTTCAAAACAAAATGCAAGAACCGAGTGAACATTTGTGCTAGATGAAACAACCCATTTTCATCAAAAATTAAAAATTTATAGACCGGTCAAAATCTATCTAAGCTACTTCAGAATATGTAGATAAGCTCTATTTTATCTGCAGTATACCGTTAACGTCAGTAAATGTTTTGAAAACCAATAAAAGATGCTCTTGTTTTTGCAGAGATTCTCCAATACCTTTGGAACTAAGACAATATTTTTTTATTGATCTTAGACACAGAATCAGATGGAGCGGATAAAAAAGAGTATATGAGGACAAAAATTTTCACTCGGTTCTTGCATTTTGTTTTGAAAACTAACATTGCCATGAGATGCAGCGTGGTCGACATCGTATGTTTTCATGTATTTTGTAAAGTCTCAGACCGAAGAAAAGAGAAATCTCAGTGCTCCGAGAAAACGTCCGTAGCTCCCAAACCAAGCAAAATGAAACCTTTAGTTAGATCTTATTTTGTTTTGTACAAGACACTTTGGACTATCCATCTATGAACTGTCTCTCTTAAAAACACGTGTGTCTCGTTCCATCATTTCGATACCACCTGTATCACTCTCTGTCTAGATCACACTTGTCTCCATCTATAACATCTTTTCTCTATTCTGAAAAACTGACTTTAGAAATTTTTTCAAAAAATGTTTTTGTTTATGAAAATATAGGCTAAGCTGTTCTCTTTCGATTGCTGAAAACCGCAGGTCTCTCTCTTTTTGTTCTCGAATTCTTTGAAAGACACCACACTCACGGACTTTTTGGACAGACAATAGTAATGTAAATCTTTTTGGTACCAAACAGGAACCACTTGTTTCGATTCACTCAAGAACTCATATTCGTGATCACACTGTTAAATACTCTTCATCCTGCTTCAGTTAGAATTCTTTTTATTCCAGTTGTCTATTGGTCAAAACGTATTTATTCCGATTTTGCCATTAATGTTATACAAAAAGTCATGGATGATCAAAAAATATTTACTATATGGGAAAAAACGCAAATGCTTTCTGGTTATTATGTAGTATATTATTTCAAAATTGAACCGTTCAGAATTTCAGAACAAGATCTTACTAAAATATTGTTAAATAAAATTATATATATTGAAAAAATTGACATACCAGATGAGATAACAATAAATTTCATAAAAGAAATTGAAAATTTTATTTTTAAAACAAAACAACAACAACAAGACTTACAAGCATTAGATGTTATCTATTGTAAATATTCATTTCAAATGAAAATGAAAATAAGTTTATTTGGACAACAACAAACAGCTAAAATAACGAAAAAACATTTAGAATGTCTGATAAACAAACATCGAATAAAGTCATTCAAAATCGAAATGAATTCTACACAGGTAACTGCATGCACTGTTTCAAACGGAAAGAACTATCGTACGGGTAAACTCAAGGATTTTGTTAAGGCTGCTATTTTTGTGTACAATAAACTCATCACAGTTGAGCTAGTTTCATACAAGATCTTGTACGATCCGTCGTACAAAACGATCCGACCTTGCACCAGATTTCGTCAGATTATATCTACGATTCGGCATGATTTGATCAGATCATTGTACAATTTTACAAGATTTATGGAAAGGAGAAGAGCGGATAAGCCAGAAACTTGATCCACAATAGAATCGATTGTTTTCGACTGGAAATATGTTAGGCTGTCTCTACCCAGTCAGTCACCTATATCTGTTGAAAATTCGTTTTAACGCGGTTTGAGCATTCATAGAGTGCGAGATATACAGTTTCACCATGAATACGGGGAATTTCTTGACCTTTAAATATACTCCTTACCCAAAACCGCGTTTTTGCCATCAATATTTCGCGAGAAACGCGTTTATAACCATCATAACGTTTTAAAAACACGTTTTCAGTCGCAATAGACTTGAAGACTAGCGAACGGCACCGAATTTTCCGTATTTAGGACTCAATTGAAACGAATTTAGCGCATTGTGAAAGTAATTTTTCATGTGTCGCTTTTTGTGTTCTACACTTGTAGAAAGTTGCGTTTCGAGTTTGAATAACTTTAATTTCTCGCGTTTGTTAAAAGAAGAGTTCGTTTTCACCTTCACCAAGTACTAAAACGCAATAAGTTCGTTATGTTCTTGTAGAAATTGCGATTTTCGTTTTCGAAGAAAGTACAATACACTGATTTCTCGCGTTTGAATGAAGTTACATTCGTTTGTGTGGTCTTTTTGAGACGCGTCTCGCAACTCTTGCGAGTCATACATATTCTCAGTCAAAAATAGGTACTTATTTCGGTTCAGAAACATTTTCAAGAGTTTCTGATACCGCCATTGCATTTCTCGTAAAAGGTTGCTTCGAGAAACTTAGCCTTTAACTATATCAGATATACTATGGGGACTTTTTGCTTTTTCTATATCAATTTCGTTTAATGCGACTATACCGAGATTGGCTCAAGAGCCGCGAAAACACGCGAGTTTAGCTTCAGAGTATCAGGCGAAACTCTGTTTACGAAAAATTTAGCACATTTAACGGAACCTATGATAACCTCAAACGTGATTCTCGCGCTTTGTTTTATACGAATTTGATGCGGTAAATTTTTCGTAAACAGAGTTTCGCGGGATGTTTTAAGCTAATCTCGCGTTAAAACGAATTTTCAAAAGATATAGGTGACTGACTGGGTAGAAGCCTTTTCGCCTCTTAGTTTCCTGAAAGTGCAGAGTTGTTTAGTATATGTATCGTATGATATTGAAGTCCATAGCGGATTTGGATTTCTGAAATTTCTGAGCGTTGCGCAATTACAATTACAAAATGTAAAGTTCTAACACTGCTGTTATTCCTAGAATTCTGAACTTTACATACATGCAAAGTTCAGAATTCTAGGAATAATGACTGTTTCAACTTTACATTTTTAATTGTAATCGTGCATCTCTGTTCCAGTCATATAAAATCATAGTTCAAAACTGTTCTCGTGAGAGTTCAAAAGTCTTATCAACAATGCTGTACTATTAATCTGAAAGAAATTCAAAATACAACAAGACGTGTCAGTCTCACAGACAATAACGTCACGTGCACCCTCAAAGAATAAAAAAAAACGTGCACCCTAAAAAGAAGAAAAAAAAAAAAACGTCTGTCCCTCCAAAACATTTTTTACGCCTACCCCAAACTTGACTTCCTATTTACGGTCTTGTCGGACGAAAAAACTTTGGGGTGTTCCACACTTCAGTTCAGGGCACATTAGTCTCGCGCTTATAGCTAAGCTTTTGGAAAATGGCTGCAGCATATGATAAACGATAAAAAGCCCAAATTAACTCACTTAATTCCATAACGACAACGCTCTTTTTCACAGAGGTTTAGTTATTATAATATTTGCCATTGTTTGTTTTAGTACAACTATTTGATAGACAACTGTTTACAAAAATTGAAGGACATTGAGACACAATACAAAGATGATAATGTCAAATTACGAATACGAGAAAATACATATCATGCACCGCAATATTTAATAGAAACAATTAAACAATTGATTACTAAATTAATTTCTTATACAGTAACATTTACTGTTGAAAACATTATAGAACATAATCTTACATTAGCAGATAAAGAAAAATCACAACTGGAATATATCGCACAAAAGCATAATTGTAAGATTGTTAAAATCGAAATAAAAACTAAAAGGAAAATTTGTACAATACCTAAAGCATTAACAACATCGACAATACCATCTACATCAAAATTGATTATTGAGCAATCTAATACATTTTGTTCGTCATTTTCGATGAGAAAAGCATCAGTGTTGAATGGTTCAATTGAAATCCATAAAGCAAGAAATTTTAAGTCATTAATGGTTTGTGAAGTTACATTTTCTTTAAGATCCAGACTGTTTGTCTTCTCATTTTAGGTAGATGTTGGTGTTATTTCAATCGATGCGGATGCTCGTAAAGAAGGTCTTGAGTTTAGTAGTGGTGATGTATTTGATGAAACAAATTCAGGCGAAAAAATTTTATTTATTCGTTGGTTAAAATCATCACCAGAAGACAATCAGCAAACCGTAAAAAAGTCAATACAAACATTTCTTTCAACGACATTACAAACAGTTACTGCGCTTTATCCTAATATAGAAACAATTGCATTTTCAACGCATGAATGGGAAAAGTATGGAAAACAATTGGCTGAGGAAATAATACACGAAATAAAACGTCAGCTTGAAATAAGACAATCCTGTTGGACAATTTTATTTGTTTTTGATTGTTTCAATAATGATGAACAAGAAACTTTATACAATCAATTTTCGCAAATACTTCTCCAGATACAAACCGATCAAGATGGTTATGCCCAGTTTTCTTGTCCAATATCGAGTAAGCAATCAAAATAAAATGTCTACATAATTTCAAATTGAAACTTCAGCATATGATCAAAAGAGATAATCTGATAGGCATGAAACGAAAACATATTCCTCGATCAAAAAGTGGATCTAAAACCCTTTGGTAAAAGATCAGAAACTACGATCACTAATCTATAGAGACATAAACTAACATATACGCTTCATTCACGGGAAAGATTTTCACGCCTACTGCAAAATTTTCCGTCGAGCAATATTTTCCTGTTTTACTGATGTACTAGAGACTAAATGTTTTTGATTACAAAAACATATCAAGGTCGAAAAGGCTCGAAATCGCAATATCCTTAAAGTTTGTCATGCAACGGGAAAAAACTGATATTTTTTGCTACGGATTAGGGATTTTCGGTTCTCAACGCTTGAACAGAATCGAGAACCATGCTGGATGCTTTACGTTTTTTGTTTGTATAGAATGATACTTTTCTGGTTCGCACTACTACTATCCTCTCATAAACGAACGATATCCAGCATTTTTTAAATAACTTCTTGGTTCGGAAGGATCTGCCTATCGGCTAAAGTTCATGTTTAGGAACTTCCAAAACACATGTAATATAAGTTGCTGCTTTACCGTATTTTGTAGTATTAGTACGAAACGTTGCCTTATTCCCGATGCTTTCTAGAATGGTGTAGTGCAGATGGACAACGCAAAATTCGCCATCGCGCACTTTCGCGGTGGGCTTTCGGCAATTGCAAAAAGTCATGCTTCGGACTAAAAATTACTCTTCACGAAAATTCAATTTTCGGCAAATTGCGGAAGTTCCGACTCCGGTTACGGCGAAAATTTTGTTTGCAGCATGACAGTTTTATAGTCGATGAAGATGGTATAAGAAATTGACAACATGACAAACTCGGCTAACTAGTGAGTTCTACGACTTCAAAACTTTCGGCAATAGCCGAAATTCCGACGTCGGATACAGCGAAAGTCCGATGAAAATTTAACTTTCGGCAATTGCCAAAAGTCTGCTGTAAAGTGCACAACGGCGAAATTCATGGCATCCGCACAGATAAAATGGAACATATGTTGGTATTTTGAAGCAGTTTTCAACAATTTTGACTGACGGGGGAACTGATTTAACTGTCAAATCGTTTTTTCAATGAGACCTAGTGGATTATAGGTTATCGACTATGCTGATTCTGAATATGACCATGGCAGTTGCCTATAGGTCTCCAGCGATTCAGAAAATCTAAAAAATAACCAAAGCCTTTCCTAATAAAGCATAGTTGTAGCCCGCACATTTCTGATTAAAATGAGACATCTCCATTAAAGTAAAACATCTCCCAGCTCTACAAGACCTTTCTTTGCAAAGTTACAGAATTTACAAGAAAAGTCCTAAATGTTCATTGTCATCTCAAAGCTACAGAAATAAGAAGAAATTAATTTAGGGTTCTTCTTATAAATTTTATAACTTTGCAAAGTTATAAAATTTATAAGAAGA